AAGAGAGTAACAAACACAAAAAAGAAGGAGGGGAGATAAGGACGATAGATGTTTGATAGGAAAGAAGGAGCAAAACCAGACCAGAGCACCCGCCAACTTCCCAAATCTGGGTTAGCTCGCTTGCCCTTAAAAGGGACCATATCTACAGACAGTCTTGACAAGTTAAAAAAAAAATGAAACACAAGCCAGAATAGCATTTATGGAATTGAAATATATATTAACAAGATCTTGCAAATTGACACCAATTCCTTTAGAAAGGAAAATAAGTAATAAATAAAGACAAAATATTCACAATGGACGAAGGATGAGGTACATAAATTTTATATACTACAATGCTCACACACTTGGATCACTAGGCACAGATCTACCACATGATGACTCTATGAGCACCACACTGTTATTCACAATACTGTCCCCGGGGGTTTATGCACCCCGCATAATTTAGAAAAATTTGACCATTTTTTTTCTTTCGTAATTTCTGATTATTTTCCTTTATCATTCTTTGTTAAAATTAACAGAATCGCATAATTTCACATTTTTGGGCTCAGTTCGCATAATTTCAGAATTTTTTTTGCGTGCATAAAACCACGGGGACAGACAATAGGTGACTCACAAACTGTGCCTCATCAAACAAGTGAACTTATAATGAATGGACATTGAAATAGGAGACAACTTTACATAGCGTTATAATAATAAAATATGTATAATTTTCTGCATTGTATGTATGTATATGTCGGGTATTGTGGTGAAATCAGGCGCTTGTCAAAATAATGAAATATTAGAAATCGGCGTTCTCGCTCGCGCCAGATTGGAGTTTTTTTCTAATTTTTGTTTTTTGGCTTAACACCTTGTAGAAAATTAACAGAATAGCATAATTTCAGACTTTTGGGCTCAGTGTGCATAATTTCAGAATTTTTTTGCATAAAACCGCGGGGACAGCATAAACAAGAAGTACTCGAAAGTGATCACCAAACTTACAGCTAAACACTCGTCTACACACACACATACATACATACACACATACTCACACACATACATGATTCAACAGTCAACAACATCCACATGGTCACTCCACAAGCAGAATGGCATATCTCCAGTTTTTGTAGTTTACAGATACATGGAAACAGCTGTTTTACTTAACTCACTTGAGCCGGAGCTATTGCTCCCCCAACAAAACACTGCGGCCTGACACTATTGGGAGACTGTACATTGAAGTGTTGACCAAAAAAAGAATATGAAGAAAGCTATCATAATTTGTTTAAAATGTAGCATGGGAAGGAAAGAAAGAAATGCTCTCAGGAAAAAGAAAACCGCAACTCATTTTTCCGAATAGCTTTTATTTTAACAATATTTTGAAATGGCAATGTTTGGGGGTTACGCAACTTTTTTTTTTGGAGCCCACTTTGTAATAAAATCATCTGTCACAATACAAGGAGGGGGGGGGGGACTGACTTAGTCCGTTACAGCTAAAAAAAAGTATGTCACGTAACTTCACCAAATTTTTAACGAAACAGTGGGTCAACTGTTGGCTCGCCACTTCTCGTAGCTTGTAACCGAAAAACACCCGGAGATATCGATCAATAAAGTGCATCCCATAAAAGCACAAGATTAGGCCACCTGGCTGGCGAGGCGTCCCGTAAAAACACGGGAATAGGCTCAAGTGAGTTAACATTACCTGTACCTGTATTACCTGTCCTGGGCAACAACGTCATTGCACACCGGACAGGTCCATAAGTGCTCAGTTCCCCCCAGCACCAAAGCCCGCAAGGTATCCATACTGATTGTTCCGGTGGCTGTCTGATTATGGCGACGTTAACAGTGAGTCAACATGACTATTTATTATCAAATTATAATGGGTAAAACTTGTGACGCACGTTTCTTCTGTGACTGCCAGCACAGTTTTGTTTTGGTTTTACAAAAAGATAGATAGACATAGTACCACCAAGCAAAAATAAAATAACACTAGTTGCATTTTGGCAGAAATCTGAGTTACGCCATTTTGCTAGCGCAGTGACCACATTGGGGGCAGAGTCATCACATGTTTCGTCGGTACAAGCAACAATTTTGTACATGTAATGTAAGTGTTACAGCAAAGAAATATATAAATAATATATATATATATATATATATATATAACTTTTGTCCACTCTTTTCCATCACACGGAAGTGGGAAAGTGTGCGTATGTGTGTGTGTGTGCTGTCTTAACCCTCCAAGCATCGCTATTAAATAGGCTGTGGTGTGGTGTGGTATTTCACCATACTAAGTTGGAAAATGTTGGAGAACAGGCAAACCTAGCAAGTAAAGGCTATACATACACGCACACCTGTCCTAGACGTTATTTTCAAAAAAGAAGAATTTGAATAGGAAGGAAAACTTATTAGTGATACCTGACCGCATGCAGAAAACCACACCACCCACGAAGAAGCGTATTAGTGAAGGAATTGAAATGTTTGGCAATATATAAAAACGGGACTAGTGAACCAAAATTGGTGATTCAAACTGTCTAAATAATGCCATTCATAAAACAATTGATACTTCTACTAAGAAACGATATCACTAAATGTGAGGCGTGCTGACAAAATGAGTTGCTTCTCGCCATCCAAGAATGGAAGATATCGGTCGAAAAACCGACACTGAGATCAAATTTATATACTTTCAATTGATGCCATTTTCTTCATGTCTACCCTGTCTTTTACCTGTACTACCTGTCCTGGGCAACAACGTCATTGCACACCGGACAGGTCTATAAGTGCTCAGTTCCCCCCAGCACCAAAGCCCGCTAGGTATCCATACTGATTGTTCCGGTGGCTGTCTGGTTATGGCGACGTCTTTCCTTTCCAGATAATCGTTCCTTTCTTCCTTCTCCTCTCTCTATCCCCTTTTCCCGCATCCTAATGATTGCGTGGTGTTCTGCTGTCTCCCTGTCTTAATTCCTCACCCCGCAACTTTTTCTCCAGGGTCTTCAACCCTGTCTTTTATGATTCCACACTAACAAATTGAACAAACTCAACCTATAAATTTGTAAAGTTGATTGATTCAGTTTCCATGAGGCTAAAATCCGAGAAGTCACTAATTTTGTCAGCACACCTCACAAATCGTAATATCTTACAGAATCCATCCTTCCAGTTCCACACAAGCAGGGTACATTTCCAATCACACTGGAACATAGCATATCTTATAGAAGGTTTCATGATGTACAATTCGCCCATTAAGTACCCGCAAACATTTAAAACAAACGTGATGAAATTGCAGTCAAGCTAGTATATACTAATTACATAGAACATTTCCCCTCCCTGTATACAAATAACATTTTACTTTGGTTTACTTTTAGTAGAGGTTTTACGGCGCTCGCAACTGCATAAGTAGGTCATATGAGCGCCAAGGAGTGGATGTCAACAGAGAAGTCCTTACAGGGAATCAGACTTACTCTGCTCACCTCTCTAGCTTCAATAGAACAAAGTCTGCTTCGACTATCAAGGTACCCTGGAAATAGTGGGTCATAAGAGTGTGACAAACATACAAAAGAAGTAGAGGAAAATGACGATAGTAAGGATTAAGAAACAAAAAGCAGCAGTTCCCAGTTGTAGTTTGAAATGTCCCCCCCTTGGGGAATGGCCTAAAGACTCTTCAGTCAGTGGCACCGCCCCGGGGGGTGGGGGTGGTGGTGGTGACTGAAGTTAGGGAGTGCAGAAAAATGGCTGGGGCTGGAAGGGTTAACAGTTCTCACTAACTGATCTTCCGCAACAATCCTACTGCGGTCTCAGAAAAGGGAAGTTTTAGTTTTAGTAAGAGTTTTACGGCACTTGCAACACTGTAAGGTCATTTAAGTGCCGAAGATTAGAGGTGTTTCAAGAGAGTAACAAATACAGTGCAGCCCCTCTATAACGACCTTCGATATAGCGACATTCTCTGTATAGTCACATGGTGCCCAGGTCCCCATTTTTTTCCGTAAATATATCATTAGTAATATTTATTATTTACTCTCTTAAACGACAACTCTCCAACAACATTTTTTTTTCCGGCCCCAGCGATGTCGTTATAGAGAGGCTGCACTGCATTAAAGAAAAAAGTAGGAGAGATCAGGATGATAAGTGTTTGATAAAAAGGAGGAGGAGAGATCAGGATGATAAGTGTTTGATAAAAAGGAGGAGAGATCAGGATGATAAGTGTTTGATAAAAAGGAGGAGAGATCAGGATGATAAGTGTTTGATAAAAAGGAGGAGGAGAGATCAGGATGATAAGTGTTTGATAAAAAGGAGGAGGAGAGATCAGGATGATAAGTGTCTGATAAAAAGGAGCAAATCACACTACAGCACCCACCGACCACCCACAATGGGAAGGAGGAAAAAGGTTCGACGACACAAACAGTAGACAAGTAATCCAACTTTTTTCGCAGACACACACGACAAATCTTTCCTAATTTCAAACGGGCTGAACACCAGCGCGTAATGAGCTGTCGTTCGCTCACCATTTTGAACACAGTTTGGACAGACTGTTACTGACACAAATAACGAATTCTCAAAGGGGGGGGGGACTGAGGTTCTCTTGCACTTGAGCATTCACTTTTAAGGTCATGCCCAAGCAAATTTCATCATAAAAGACAGGTTTCAAATCTTTTTATTAACTTATCAATCAATCTGTCAACGTTTGTTTATATCAACATTTCGTGCTTCCTAACGGCAGCATTAACATCACCTGAGAGAGAGAGAGAGACAGAGAGAGAGAGAGAGAGAGAGAGAGAGAGAGAAAGAGAGAGAGAAAGGGGGGGGAGGGTGAGAGAGATGGAGAGGCTTTAGTCACAGTAAAAGTTGTACGGCACTTTCAACACAATATGGTCATATAAGTGCCGAAGACTAGAAGCTTTTTGTAACAAACACATAGAAGAAGGAGGAAAGATAAGGACGATAAATGTTTAATAGGAAAGAAGGAGAAAAACCCACCAACCACCCATAGAGATGGAGAGGGAGAGAGAACAGAGAGAAGACAGAGGAGAAAGAGTGAAGAGGAGGAGAGAGCAAGAGAAAGAGAGGGACACCTTCCTTTTCACTCAGTAACTGAATATATATATATATATTATATTACATATTTTTAGCAGATAAATCAACATAAACACTTATAATCTAAGCAGGGGTCAATCGGAATCAGAATCCCTCTCATCGTCCTCATCCTCGTCTTCGTGCATCGGGAACCGAAGAATCGCAGCCACACCCGAGAGCTGACCCAATTCTGTGAAAGAAATTTGTGTTTCTTGGTTTGAGTGAAAGAAGGGGTACATCAACAAGAGAAACTGTAATTTAGTGCATAACAATAATAATAACAATAATCCCTTGGTGGTCCAAAATCTATTAAAGAGTAGGCTTCGGCCACCACCCGCGCAAAATTCAACATTCCCAACCAACTGAAAATGTTTAATGTGCCCAGCGCACTCATATAACCTTACGTAGTTGCAAGCACCATAAAACACTTACC